GCGGTAGGGAGGTATGCATTTCCTAAGAATGTGACTTGGCTGCCTTCATGTCTGAGACCCCCTTTTTTTTTTTTTTTTTTTTTTTTTTTTTTTTTTTTTTCTTTTTTCTTTTTTTTTTTTTTTTTTTTTTTTTTTTTTTTTTTGCCTTGTATTGAGTATAAGGTCATCGCAACAGAACAACTTCCTGGGACATGGGCAAGTCGGTGAAAAGAAAGAAGTATTGGGTACAATTGATACCACTATCAATCTAGGGAAAAACAGGTATCAAGTACTTGAGTCAGACAACCTTTTCAACTACATGCATGTACCAGTTGTTAGGGCACGCCCCTGCGGTCGGTGCTGCCCCAACAGTGCGCTACTATATAAACCGGTCCCAGGCATGAAAAGACCGACTCATATTAGGTCTTTTGGCCGAACAATATGGTTCCCTATATGTCTGGGTATAGTGGTTCTCACACGAGTACTGCATATTTGATCAAGATTAAGAGATCCATGAATACTTAAGTAAAATACGCATTGCACAGTGAATCCAAATACGCATCGTATTCACGTAGCTTGCCATGTGCTCGATTGCTACTGCATACTACCGTACTGTATTACGACCGTAATTTTGGATTGCAACTCCCGCGTGAGGTCTTGCCCCTCCTCTTTCTTTGCGCAGTCACTCTCAATAGCAGTAAACGGTGGTTTCCTGCTCCAGAATATGGTGATGATGGCATAAACTGCGTGCAATTATCACAAATCTCCTGAGAACCCGTGATCTCAACGATGGAGGACTCTGGCGACGCACTCGCCCAGGTACGTCACACTACTGCCACGCTTTAGGCCCAACTAGTATTGGATCTCTTGTATATTTCAATCTGATCTAACGATTATTCTCACTCGCAGGAGCTTGCAAGTGCCTATTGCCCACAGATCGACCCAGCCCTCTTCCAGGCGCTTGTTCAAGATTACGATTTAGCAATTCCAGACCAGGTTGCGCGGCTGTGCGAGACACTCGATGTGCTTAAATTATCTGCCGCAGAACAGGAAGATCTGCCCTTTGATCCCACGGGAACAACAAACCTGAGAAACTATGAAAGTACTGGGTCACCACGCACGGAAACATCCAGCGGTGGAACGTTTTCTGACGTCCAGAACTGGGCCTCGCTTGAGAACCTTGATGTGGAAAATGGCGATGCCAACGGTGACAACTATGGGACCAAAGAATCTCAGCGCGCGCCTCATTCCTCAGGCATGCCTATCGCCGAGAAAGCCCAGAGCCTGATCAGTATGTTCCCGAGCATCACTCGGCTGGAGGCTGAGGGTATTCTCAAAGACTGCCATGATAGTCTTAGTCGTTCAATGGATGTCTTGTTAAACCTCGCTTTCATCGAAGAGACTCAAATTGCAGGAGATATCTCCCAACAAACTGAAATTGCTCAGGGCTTCGGTCAGCCATTGGCTCCCAAGTCCATAGATGGGTTTCAAGCCACGGAGAATTCAACCGGCAACAAGAAAAGCCGCAGAAAGAAAAACAAGCAACAGAAACAAAATGTTGTCGATTTGGCTGCCAAGGCCACAGCTGGCCCTGCCTCCAATAAATGGGAAACTGGCACCAAGGACATCGACTTCATTGCATCGCGAGCTTGCACTTTGCCACGGGAAAAGGTTGCTTCAACTTATCACTCGAACTCCATGTCACTTTGTGCGACTCTGCGAGTCTTGGCGAATGCCCAAGCCCCGGCCAACGCTCAAGAAATTGAAGAAGACCCGGTCTTGATCACACAAGTGGGAGATCTCGCTCGCAACTACCCCGCTATTGAGCCTACCACGTTGGTCGGCTTGATCAGGATTGCTAACAATGACATCTCTGCAGCAGACGAGTTAGCCGAAGCTTTATCCCGTCGGCCTACCCTAAGCTCAGTCTCAAACATCATTACGTTTGTCTCAAAGCCCCCGGTGATAGAAGAAGACGAGAACGTCGCACCATTAAGTGAGGGAGACGGCTTTGCCGAGTCCATGGACTACGCTCAAGCGTCAGTGGCTGCTTCATCCCACTTCGCTGCTCGATCGGCTGCCCTGGCCCAGGCATCACAGGCAGCTCGTCGAGCACGGTCGAACCCCCTCTACGGCGGTGCGTCTGCGTATTACCGAGATATCGGAAATGAGCAGCGTCAGCTCGCCATGCGTCATTTGGCGACTGCCTCTGACAGGCTTGTGGCGAACCAATCGAGAAACTGTGACTTGGATTTGCATGGCGTGAACGTCGCCAATGCACTGAGAATATCTCGTCGGAGTGTTCAGGATTGGTGGGATGCCTTGGGCGATAAAAAGTACGTTCGGGGCGGAGGGAGAGATGTTCACGGTGGCTTTAAGATCATATGTGGTGTTGGTAATCATTCCCAGGACCGCAAATCTCACCTGGGGCCTGCTGTGTGGAATATGTTGCGAAATGAAGGATGGCGGGTGGAGCTCGACCGAGGCTCCATGCTGGTCATTGGGAGAGAACGTCGGTAGATACTTCATGTCTTGCTTTCTTCAGCGGTATTTGTCTGGCTTCCAAGATACCCTTGCATATGTGGAGTTTTCCCGGCACCTGTGGCTATTTACAATGAATGATTCACGATTTTCGATTGCTCTCAAGAAATCCCGGGTGTACGGAGGATATCATGGACTCGTAGCACAGAGACAACCCTCTTAATAGAACTAGATAACTAGATCTATATAAATCACCTGGGCAGTCTTCAATCGTATGCCTCAGGCAGCGAAATGGGTCTCCCCGCATGATGACGCAAAGGCCCAACCGGGATTAGTTTCACTCCACTCGGCTTTTTTGCTGTGCAACTCAACTCTTGTCTACTGCTGCAGCTTATTCCCTGTGGCTATTCACTCCATGCGATCTCACGTATATCGCAGTCTTATCTCCCCCCTCAAGCCTCAAATCATACCTCTCCGGCTTACGCCGTCCTTCCCCGCTCGATCTTTGTCCAGTTCGGCAAAGCATCCTCGTCCACAGGCAGGCCCGAAGACTATCAGAACTGTTTCCACTATACCATTCATTGGTGCCTTTTTCAGTTCCAATCGCAAAACCGAAAATTCTTCCGAAGCCATGTCATACCCCGACCAGCGAAGTGAAGACCAGTGGAGGACTGTTCTCAACCCAGGTTCGTATCACCCGACACATGATGCACGCTCAGTACCTCATATTCGAGTGTATACTAATTTCGAACAATAGAACAATTCCGAATCCTCCGCGAGAAGGGAACTGAACGCGCCGGCACTGGTGAATACGATAACCATCACCCGTCCAAAGGTGTTTACAACTGCGCCGGCTGCGATGCCCCGCTTTATACCGCCGACCACAAGTTCAAGTCTGGCTGCGGTTGGCCTGCATACTTTGATTCTATCCCCGGTGCTGTGACCAGACATGTGGACAGCACATTTGGCATGAAGCGAACGGAGATTGTCTGTTCCAACTGCGGAGGTCATCTCGGCCATGTGTTTGAGGGCGAGGGATACCCGACTCCCACAGATGAGCGTCATTGTGTCAACAGTATCAGCCTGCGATTCACTGAAGATGCTGCGAAAGAGCCCAAGTCTAAGGCTTGAACGATGACTGTAGAAAGATGCGGGTGTTGCGGAGAATTAAGGCATAATGGCCGACATGCATGGTGAAAGGAGTTGAAGGGGAGTGGATCAATTGTATTCTTGTAAAAACCAAACACAATTTACTTCGTAGTAATTTCCATGACCATGAGCTGCAATTGCCTACCAGTGGCATTATAAGATACTCTGCTCAAGTGTCTGTGACTTCATACTAAACTGCGGCAGTGGCATTTTCGCCCTCCGTATAGACCCCTGCCGCCTTAGGCCGCCACAGTGCCGACCGCCACCTAAGATTAATTAGGTAGCGTTTCATTGTTTCTCCCTTTCACCATTTCTTGAGTCGCTGCATAGAAACATGTCTCGACGTCCGACCCCTGGGCAAGCTGCTCAAAATTCACAGACCATCAAGGGTTTGTTGAAACTGGAGCACAACAAAGTATGTGCCGATTGTAAACGGAACAAGCGTGAGTCTCCGATTCCCCCAGTTGCGCCCACGTTGGCCTCTTGCCCATGCTGAAGTCTTGGCGCTAACATACCATTCTATATGTTTAGACCCGCGATGGGCTTCCTGGAACCTAGGTGTCTTCGTCTGTATCCGTTGCTCGGGAATTCACAGGGGCATGGGCACGCATATCAGCCGAGTCAAGTCCGTGGATCTCGATGCATGGACCGATGAACAACTTCAAAGTGTCGTCAGGTGGGGTAATTCAAGGGCAAACAAGTTCGTCGCGACCAATTGGCTGGTTATGAATATGAGGCGCTAATCAGATCTAGGTATTGGGAGGCCAAATTGGCACCTGGTCATGCCCCCTCAGAGTCGTGAGTATAACCGATAGAAACCTTTCCAATGCCGTCACACAGTGTGCTGACTATTCGGCGTCGACAGGAAAATCGAAAACTTCATCCGGACCAAGTACGAAAGCAAGCGGTGGGTAATGGATGGTGGGTTGCCAGATCCATCTACCTTAGATGATGGTGATGACGACGTTGTAAGTGGTCGCATGATATACCTCACATGGAGTACTACTTACTGACCTACTAGCCTCTCGCTGTTGTACAGGAGAAAGCCAAGATCGAGCGTTCCTCTTCTCAGCGCATCGCTCCCCCCGCTCCCGCCAACCAAGCCCCGGTACACCGGCAACAGGCCTCAATTGATCTGTTCGGCGACGACATCTCCCCTCCGGCCCGCCCTAGCACAACTGATCCTACTCTACGCGCGCCGCCCAGACAAGCACAGCCTGCGCCTGTCAAGACTCACAAGCCTAATGATTCACTTTTGGGACTCGACTTCTTCGGCAGCACTCAGCCCGCTGCTGCCAGTCGCCCGAGTAGCACGGCATCAACCCCAGCGGCACCCACCGGAATGTCTCGCCCTGACCTGAAGCAATCAATTCTGTCATTGTACTCAAAGCCGCAACCTGCACCTCCTGCGCAACACCAGCGGGGCAACTCATTCGGCGACATGGCCTCCCCCGCTCCTCCTTCGGCTTCATCGAACATGGGCGGTCTGACGGATGCCTTTAGTGGATTGAGCTTCCCTTCCACCACCTCCCCTCCTCCAGCTAGGCCCGCCGAGAAGCCCTCGGCATTCTCCAACCTCGCATCCTTCGGTGCTGCCAAGTCCACGCCCGCGGCTCCAAAGGTCACATCGCCCTCAGGGTCTGCCAGTGGCGACTTATTCGATAGCTTCGCCTCTCCCACCATGTCCGCCCCTAAACCCCAGTCCCGCACTACGTCCGTGTCCTCGGCTGGGCAAGACTTTGGATTCGGAGGATTCACTTCCCCGACTGCTAAGCCGAACCCCCCTTCTTCATCGCTTTCAAATGATTTGTTCGGACTATCTTCGCCCCCTCTCGCATCTAAATCCACTGTCTCGCCTCCCAAGTCTACCGCGACTTCTCCTCAGCAAGAAATGAATTCCGCATTCAACATTTCAGCCCCTCCAATCCAGCCTGCTGCTCCCAGAGCACCAGCTCCCAGCGCCGCGACTGCCGCTGCGGCTAGCATGATGTCTGGAAGTCTCGACCCATGGGGTGGAAATGCATGGAGCACACCTGACCGTGCGCCTTCGCCCGTTGCCCCTGCCCCTGCCCCTTCAGCTGCGTCTATGATGAAGGTTCCTGATACTCTGACTCCTAACGATCTGGGTAACGGCTGGGGTGCGCCGACTCCTGCTCCCAAGCCGGCAGCCACCGTTGCAGCTGATGAGGACTTTGGTGGCTGGGCCAGTGCTGCCCCGGTTTCCAACCCCACTCCTACTACCAACACCAGCAAGCCGGCTGGTGGATTCGGTGGATCTGACGACCTCTTCTCTAACGTTTGGGAGTAAAGTTTAGACTGGTGATACCCACTTGAATCTTCACGGGCAAGCAAAGGTTTCGAAAAATATATGAATGCCACCACCTGCACATTGAACATTCCCGTTCATAACGACATTCACATCTCTTTGGGACTCTGTCTACATTAGAGATTTGCTCATTCTAATATTCCTACATGTTTTTTGTAACGAGTTCTATTATTTTTCATGACATGCGGGCTGCTTCCGAATGTACGATGGGCGGGTCTCATGCATATTGAAGATTAGCTCGTTTTCTTCGTTTTGGCATATTTCTACGTTTTGACAATGCATTGATAATACCCTAGAGCTTCGACGAGATCATGTTGCCTGTAGTAGCTCTCCGTTACCAAGGTTATTCTTGATCAACTTTCCAAGGTTAGAAGTGCCGTCTAACATGTCATTGTCATTCCATGAACTACTAAAGTACATAGACCCTACTTGTGCCAACTTTTACTTAAGTCCTTCTAAAGTTTCGGATTTCGGATTTGACCTTGGAAGTAAACATTTTCACCTTCTTCTTCCATGAAACTCGATCATTTTCATAAGGCGTAGCTAAGATATATTATAAAGTAATGGCCCTGGCCAAGCCAGCCTCGCCTGTGCTCAAGTGGTTGGGTATTTTGTACATCACCGTGGAAAAGAAATCAAAAGGAAGTGAGCCACCCGGTGTAACAGTGGGTATGGTAAATAACAGATTTCCACCAGCATTAAAGGAAAAAAAAGAATGTGTATCAAAATGGAAAGTCGAGAAAAGGCGCAATGGCATGTTGTGGTTTCTTAAACCAACTCTTTTGCACTCTCCTTATCGTCGGTAAGGAAGATCTTCGGATGCGATGTACTCTGCTGAGTAACATTGGTAGTGACTTTGATACCAGTGAAAGCTTCCTTCTGATCTTTCGAAATGCTATTGAAAGATGAGCCAGACGGCGAGAGAGCCTCCAGATCGTTGTCGTAGCCCGGGTCCCGGCCGCCGATGACAGATGCAAGAACTTGGGTATTTCCATTGCCGGTAAGGGCACTGCGTCCTGTGCGTGTTGGTCGTGTAGTCCTGCTGCGATAGCCGTTGCTGCGGGTTGAGAAGATGTGTGGGAGCAGTTGGGAGAGGAAGGCTCTGGTTCCAGGAAGACAGGCGCAGATAATGGCCACATTGCATTCGACTGCTGACCAGGCTGCTGCGCCGACATTGTCGTCTGTATTGAGGGTTAGATTTGACTTCTTTTAGAGAGAGCTTCTTCTGATACTCACAGGTTGGATCGCTAGAGTTGGAGATAACCAGCAAGGATTGTAGACGCAGGACACTTGTGACCAATACACTAGATAACGTTAGTATGGGGTACAAGGTATAAATTCTGCTGTCGAGGGTAGAAACTCACAATCCACCCAGTGCGAAAACAGCCATCAGCGCAAACTTCTGCTTTTTGGGCAATTGGAGCGACTTCAGCACCGGCATGGGGTATAGCAAGATGATGATATCGGTGAGAATATGGATAGCCGAGTTAGAGAACCACAAGGCTTTTTTATCCAAACAAAAGCCTGGGAGAGTCGGATCCCAGAATTTGGCCAAAGGCACGCAATTAGCCCAGGCACTGACGATCGTCCATGTTCCATATGCCCCGAGGAATCCGATTAGGAGCCAACATGCAAGACGCATTCGTGGTGTTGAGAAGACCCGTTTATATTGAAGGAGGATTGACATCTTTGTGCTTATGAGACTTGTTTGGTAGATTGGGACGGATGCCCAGAAGCACTACACATAATTTCATGTTAGTTGAGTCCCTGGATCTTTTTTGAATGCATTTTGTGTGGATGAAACGTACGATCATTTGAGCCTTATAGATTGCAGCCGGGATTACGGCGTAATGCTCTCCCATGCCATGGTAGACCTCTGAATGGACGTTAGATGCCTTATTCCTAGAGAGGTTGTTTGAGACTGAGACTGACCTCCAACCAGAAGGCCAAAGAAGATCCATGAGAAAGCCAAAGAGACCAAAATAACATAATCGTCTGATCCCATCTTCTTGACGAGGAATGTGCGTGTGTATATCCGGATTGCTGTAATCAATGTCGCTAGAGTCGTGAAGACAATACTGACGGCAAGGGCCTGGCGCCCACGGGGTGTTGATAGTGTAGTCATTGTGTCATGAACGGCGTGTATAAAAAAGAGCGAAAAGAGCGATGGCGATGTCGAAAATAAGGAGAGTCGATGGGATATGCAAAGCGTCGAGACAATGAAGCCGCAATGCCTCCCTGGGTAAAATGAACGTATAGGCAATGGCCACCTGATCAATGCTTTGGATCTAAAATCCCGAAGAAATGGCGTTCGTGGGGGTGGGCCGCTTCTTAATACAAAAGAGAGACAAGAGGGCACAGAGGCAGATAGAGGGGCTATTGATAGTAAGATGAGTAGATATTCTGCATCGGCATACACCGGCTCAATTCAACTGTCTGTCAACCTTTAGAGGGGCTCCAGGGCTTTGAATTAGGTTGGCCACCAGGCTACTCGAATGGAGTACTATTTCCAAAGTTGGTTTGGGGGAGATATTGGTCCCGTCAAATTGGTTGACAAAGCCACGAAACGGTAGCGGGCCCCATAGACAAATCCACACCCACGTGAATCGAGGGCTCCAGAGAATTGACAGAGGATGAAATCTGTCTGTCATGACGCGGATATGTGCGGACATGGTCCGCGGGAGATAATCATTGGCCACCCAGTACGGTATTGGCCTATAGGAAACGCGCCATGCGGCTTTTCAGGCCTCAAAGGAGGAGATTTTAGTTTACTAGTATACAGCACGCATAACTATAACTCTGAAAGAGTATAGATCCACCAGCTGCGGCATAATGAAAAAGATTCTGGCAGCGACTAGCCCCTTTTTGGATTGGACCCCGGGCTGAAAGGCTGAACTCTAATTCGTTTATGCTCTTCTCGTTCCATGGTTCATACCACGTTGCTTAGCTACATTAGGAAGTCCTCCCCCTTTAGTGCTTACAGCTGACAACTGAACTGAACGGTTTCAGGGAATTCCAAGGACGTTGGGAAGACATGTCGACATTTGCAGAGTGCAGTTTGCTAGTTTAGAACAATTTGTCAAAGCATTATCTCAAAGACATGGCCTGCATGAACACCGGCTAAAGTGGAAGAGTCTAGTGAACTAGCCTAATGCCCCAAATCCACTTTTTTCCCAGTGCCTGTCAATTGTCATTCTTCCGCAATCCATGGATCGATCACGATGTGGCTGACAATTGAATCAATAGTCTCAAATAACCCCAATTGACATTGGCAGGCAAGTCGTAGGTGGAACTGTCAAATGAAAGATAATCCTATCGTTCCTGCTGCAGGAATCCCTGCACATCTCTGCTCCTGCGGCTTAATTTTCCATAACGTGCATGCATGCGAGTTTCGGGATTCGGCATCTCTGATTTTTGCATCTTACTCGTGGCAAAACAGGGCAGTCCCCCGAGAGCGTTGTGCCTGACGAACGTAAGTGCGAAGATCAAACGCCGATCCAAATCAGACCTTGCTCATCAACGGTTGCGCAACCCCCTAGCCGAGAAAATGGCGAGCGCACGGTGCCTCTCGAGGTCCACTCAATCGAACACCAAAATGCATTGACATCAATGATGCGGACATTTGTAAACTTTCATGGCCGTGTTAAGGGTATGCGATGCAAGATTCATCTGCGATTAGTTTTGAGACTATGTACACACTTTACTGATCCCTTGGATGGCCCCATAAGTGTCCCACTGATTATCACCGGAACCTTTCCCCAAGGTTTTGCGCGAACGATTGCTGCGCCGGGTTTATCTCGGACGTCGATCTTCAGGGGATGGGGCGTTCTCATTGTGCACATCGGTTGCCCTTAGCGCGGATTTCATACTTGTACAATGTGCGGATATGGAAAATAATCGACGATCTTTCTGCCGTCGCGGAGAATTCACCCGTGCACTTACATTGGGATTTCCAATGTGACTGGCCATTGAGAGCGCGTCTCGAAAGCGAGATTGTGTTTCAATGTCAATATTATTCAGAGCCTTGACATACTCGTACTCGTACGAGTATGAATATTCGAGTTGACCCCAGTGATCTTCAAATATCTGTTTCAGGTGCTTTTTCGCGAGTGAGGCTGAATTTTGGCCCTGGATTTGTTGCAGTATTATGTACTCGTACTTAAGTATGTAATCTTCAACTTTCTTGGATCAAATCGTATACTCGCACTCTATACTCGTACGCATGAGTACTTCTATGTACTCGTACGCCTCATCGAATACCCACACGTCAACTTACAAATACGAGTACCCCCGAAGTCGAATTGTCCAAATAAGAGTAAATTCTACTCGGTGGGGCTACGAAACTGATACGAGTAACTCAACGGAGTACTCTTACTCGTAGATGGATGTGCGTCTGATGCGTACGAGCCCTTGGTGCAAATCTATCCATGGGTGATCTACTCCGTACTTCATCTATGGGTATACGAGTACATCTCTCATCCCTAACTATGACCAGATCGAGATATAAGCGATAATCTACTGCGTAAGCCTCTTGGGTTCGAGGACCGGGATTGGATGATTCGAGCGCAAGGCAAGAAACGTCTTGTATGTACACAATTAGGAAAAAGTGAGATGCGTGTGGCAAGCATGGAGAAGCATCGATCATGCTTCGACTCGCTCTCAGTTTAACACTCGATCCATGGATTTGGACTGACATGATTCATTTCTACCATACTCGTATTTCACGATTAGGCGAAACGGACCTCGGGAGTACTCCGTAGCCCCTGAAGAGTACCGAACCGTGAGCTTACATACATCGTGCGAGTAGAAGACCTCCGAAAGGGTCCGATTGACTCTATAACCATGGAACCACGATGTTCATTATCGTCCGATCTGACAGAAGGGCCTCATGACTCATGGACCTTGGAAAGGCTAGAATTTGCCATCTGGGGCCAGACACTCTGGAGTGCAGATCAAACCCTTCAAGAATCTGTCCACATGAAGTATATTTTTGTTACTATTAATGGATGTAGTGCCCAGTGACGATTTTCAACTCCATCCCGTGGGAAAATCACATCGTAGCTTGTACCAGTTGACATGGGCGGAGCAATTGATATTCAGAGGTCAAAGGCTGATGTTTTGGGGGTTGCAAGACTACTCAAAGGTTGAACACCCAGTGCCCCTATGGGTTTTTGCCACATTGGCGCTTTTGGTATACTTGCCCTCATTTAGTTCGATACTTCCATGGACTATTCCAAGATGTTTCTCTCTCTAAGTTGTCTAACTCTTCAACTCTCTCTTCTGCTCTCTTTCAATTCTGATTTCTATCTTTAGAAGTGATGAGTAAAGTCAAATTGATAAAAAGAGGTTGGGCCGCTGTATCTATAGGCCATTCCGTAGGTTGACTGTCACCATTCGTGTCGCACATTTCGCCACAACTACTTCGTTCTTACGTCCCAGAAGCTTCGGACTTTGTCATCTCAAATGCATCAGAATAACTTTGATAAGCGAAACGATGACTTCCAAATGCGGACTGATATATGTCGAGTTTGTGGTCGCGTTCTGATTGGCCCACACAGATGTGGGTCAAAGGATCGCGGGGTCCAGAGCAGAACTTCGTCCTTTTGCGTTTCAAAGTGTCGCATCATTTTGAGTTGTCTGACTTCTCGTAAATTGACTAGGTATGGCCGAATTACCGGGTCAAGCTGCGGCCTCCCGGTCATCTGCGCCGCGAGTACGACTTACCTGCGAGGCATGTCGCCAACGCAAGGTAAAATGCGATAAGCTCAGCCCATGCACCAGTTGCCAGCGACTGGGCCTTGTTTGTGTCCCTGTGGAGCGAGCTCGCCTGCCTCGGGGCCGCACGCGCAAACCCACTGAAAGAATTGTGGGCTCGGACAAGGAACTCTCGGAGCGGGTCGCCAAGCTCGAGAAGCTCCTCAAGAAAGTCGCCAATGAGCGCGGCAGCGAAGAGCAAAGAAATCCAACCCCAACTCCGCCGGTGGTTAACATTGAACCGGCTCCCATCTCTGGAAAGCAAGACCCTGCTGCCGAGCCTGGTATTGTGGAAACCGAGGGTTGGCAAGATCAGAATGAGTTGCTCCCCACTCAGGTTCCCCGTCCCGGGACGGCTTATATGGGAGTTTCATTTTGGGAAGATATCATGCAGCAGGTAGGACTCTAGATTGTCTTTTTGATTGTATCTGTGGATTAACATATTAGTGATTAGACGCAAGAGCTGCGCAGCGTTCTAGACGGACGTCTAGAAAGCGAACAGCCTGAATCCAAAGATCCAAACGCTGTATTTGGAACGTCCATTGTCAGCTCGGAGAGCCCAGAAAGCTCTTCAATTTCATTGCAATCAAGGAAGGGGTTGCATCTACAACCTCATATTCGACACAAGTTATGTGATACCTTCTTCCATAATGTCGATCCTCTGTTCAAAATTCTACACCGGCCATCCATGCAAGCTTTCCTCAAGGAAGACAAGCCGTATCTGAATTATGACATGGATCACCAAGCACCAGCCACTCTTGCATCCGCTGTCTATCTTGCAGCTGTCTGCACTCTGAGCAACAAGGAAATCCAGACATTGTTTAATACAAACAAAAAAACCATCGTTGCGGAATTCCAGAAAGAGAGCGAGATTGCGCTCGCCAAGGTGGATTTCGTCACTACTAACGATGTGACTGTTTTGCAGGCCTATATTATCTCTCTGGTGAGTCCAGTTTACTTTTCCTTTTTCATATCGTCTCTCTATGCACCAGAGCCGTGTATTCTGACTCAATGCTCATTAGCTCGCTGCACGATCTCAAGATCAAAGCCGAAGAGTATGGACCATGCTGGCCATGGCCCTTCGAGTAGGTCAAGCATTGTCGCTGCACATGCCAGAGCCCCCATTCAGCGTGCGCCCGTTCGAACACGAGATGCGCAGACGCGCATGGCTAGGAATCGGTCTTCTTGATGTCGCAGCCTCTCTTGACAGAGCATCTGAACCAATGATGCAAGCAGCCTGGCTCGACTACAATCCACCTTCGAACATCAACGATGAAGATATCTGGTTCGACATGACAGGGCCTATCCCCCAACATCCCGAGGGAACATTCACAGACATGACACATACACTGGTTATTGCCGCGTCATCATCTGTGACCCGCTCACTTGCATTTGCAGACTTCATCGAGCCCACCGTGAAGATTATGAGTTTGCGACAACAGATCGTTCACGACTTCCAGCAAAAGGCCTCTGATCTCCTCAGTGGATGCAGACCTGATCTCTCGGATTTCCAGTGGTTCGCGCAAAAGACCGCCGGTGTGATGGGCAGTTGGCTTCAATTAGCCTGTCTCCGACCGTTGCAGCGAAGCAAGAACTTCACGCCCCCGAAAGTCCACGGCGACGCCTTACTCAAAATTGCAGCAGATAACCTCCAATGGACACAGGAGGCATACGATTATCCCGGCGCTGCAGATTGGCGCTGGTACGCGTCCATGTGGGTTCCGTGGCACGCGTTGGCTGTCGCCATCGCCGAGCTCTGCGTGTGCAAGAGTTTGAGTGTCATGTCAAAGTACTGGGGTGTTGTGGATAATGTCTACCAACGATCGCGAGTCATTATTGCAGACTCGCAGCAGGGAATGCTTTGGAAGCCCATGGAAAGACTCATGACTCAAGCTATTAACCGGAGAAAGGAACTGGTTCAGCTGGAAGCCGCTCAGGGTGTTGTTCAGCAACCTCAATACGCCTATAGTAACATGGACTCCGGTCTTGGTCCGCAGCAAATCCCACCTTTTGCGGGATTCTCGGTCGAGTTGGAAGATGCTATCAATCAACCGCGCAACACTCACATTGCGGAAGTGCCGACTTCTTTCGCGCCGGTGCCATGGCCTAACGTGTGGGATGCTATGGATCTTAGTGACCCTACTTTGCAGGGAGGATCTGATGACACGGCCTGGCTGAGCTACGAGAACTTCATTGAGAATGTCTACGATAGCGTGGACTCTATTTTCTTGCCTCGGTGAGCGAGATTTGTTCCGAGGTGTTCGAAGACCAGCGAAGAAACACTCTTCTTGTAAAAAAGAATGTAACGCAGCAACGATATTACTACAATACAGATCTCTACTCGGACTAGGCTTATGATCTCAAGACACAGATGGGCAGATGCTGAATTTTTAGAAGATGAAAAGTGTGTGCTTGCGAAGACTGGACTCTTTAGCCCAAACCTGTAGCCCTTGTTGACCCGCCAGGCACCATATGATCACATCACGAATTGCCTGAGCGTCAATCAGAGAGTGTTGGGAGAGAGGTGGGTGGTTCGTCCCAGGTCGTTTGCTGTTTGCCCGTTTGCAAATAGCCAGCTCGCTCTCTCCCTCTCTTCTTCCCTCTCTCCTCTCTCTCCTCGGGGAGCAAAATCGATTCGTTCTGTCCGCCTTTCTCCCTTCGCCTGTAGGCTCATCATAGAGTTGTGTCATGCTTGCCTGTGATTCCAAGGTTCCGGAACTATCTGCTGAGGGCCTTGAGCTTCCATGTGCAGCAAATTGGCTGTGTCTGCGCTTGAGGACGTAGGACAGCCTTTGCGGCCACAACAGTAGTGTCCACAATGTTTCCGTTGTGGAGTGTGGCTCATCCCAACCCCCGTTTGTTGTGTAGATAGCTCCCTCTCTCTCTCTCTCTCTGGGCGAGAATCCAAGAGCTTCCCTCCGTCTTCCTCTTCTTTTGTAGGCTCAGATTTTCCATGGATCATTCTCAGAACGCCAAGACATTGTGCGAGGGAGTGCCCGATCAATATGATATTTTTGTTGTGTAGGGAATTCGTCCCAACCCCCGTTTGTAGATAGATCCTCTCCCGAATCTCTCTCTTCTTCTTCTTCTTCTTCCTCTCTCTCTCTCCGCGGTCAATCAATCGGTTCTGTCCGCCTCTTCTTTTGCCCTGGAGCTTCAACAGTTTTGATTCATGAATTCCCAAATTTCCTGATGACCGCATTTCATGGCATCAGAATTAGCCCCAACCAGACACCGACGCCTACACCGTGGCGTGGCGTGTATATCACCCCCTTCGAGTAAGAGAGATCCCTTCCTGGAAGTGCTTCAGGAACCGGCCCGATATGACCCTTCCCTCAGATTCACCGATCGCAATAGGCCACAAAACTCTAGCAGCACCATCCTCAAACCCAATCGGACATCCTTCAACCCGTTGGCATTCCGGCGCAGCACTCATGTAACCAGGATCAACTGAATTTATAGCAACGCGCCGCTCTTTCCACGCAGACTGTGCTTCTGTTTCAGTGATCATATTAATGGCTGCCTTGGACATGTTCGTGTGAACGTGATGACCGGCTTTGCTCCGGGACCCAGGCGTGTCCTCGAGGATGCCTTCGCGGGATGAGACGTTGATAATGTATCCCTGTGGAAGCAGTCCCGAATGCGGTTTCTCTGATCCCATACTTTTCAGAAGCTCGCGGCATAGAATTAATGGCACAAATGCATTGACTGAATGTGCGCTTATCAAATCTTCATATGGTATTTCGTGGAGAGACTGGACCCAGGAGGATTTTGAGGAGTCCGTATCATCGTACGCTCTTAATCCTTTATGCGTGACTTGGGTTTCGGTTGCGCTCGTTTGTTCATTCTCAATGCAAAGCTGCGGTTTGTTGTTTTCGATACTGGGGACCCAGGAAGCTGGGAGACCACCGCGCACTCGAGGTTTGTATTCTTCGTTTGTGGATGCAAGCAGCAACTTTGTCTCGGGATGGTCCCTGAAATGCTCTTCTCTTTCGATTGCTCTTACTTCTGCTTTGATGGGATCTGTCAAGGTTTGGGCCGCGTTGTTGATCAGGATATCGAGGTGTCGGGGGGTCTCCGATGCTGCTTCACATTCCCAGTCACGAAGTAATTGCTTCACTATGTGAACGAGACGGAAGGCGTCTTTCGCGGTTCGGAAGTCCGCCCCAACCACTTTCAATTTCGTGTTCCATTCGGCATAATCATCCTCGTTTGCATATCGTGCAGCGGCATCGGCAGGATATCGGGACGAAACGATAACGCGGGCACCACAACGAAGTAATCTCAGTGCAGTTGAGAAACCAAGGTTGATTCTTCCACCGGTGATGAGAGCGAATTTTCCATTGAGATTCAACTTGTTCGGCAACGATAGCTCTGAGCATCCAACGTTGAACATACCACACTGGCGACACAACGAGGGGTATAACTCATGGGCATCGGCCGCTGTAAATGAATACCGGCATATATAGCAACGTATCTTTTCGCTTTGAGGTCGAATCCTTTCATGCTTTTGAAAACTTCTGTGCTGTGCAGTTCGAAGAATATGATCCATCGAGAACTGAGCCTTCACGGAAGAAAGCACATCCGACAATGAGTCCGTTGTAGCACCCTGCGATACCAAACTGTGCTTTTGGAGATAATCCAGTACTTTGAGTGTTGTCTCCAGTTCGCTGTCTGTGGGGATGTGGAAACTGTCTCGGTCTGTATTTTGTTCCTCTGACCTGCTCTCCAGTTGGCTGAGGTAGGCCTTGATGCCCTGGATGATGCCGTTGCATCTAGCTACCCGCAGGGCTTTGGAAACCTGAGCATGCGGTGTGATGTGCCATGCTACGCTCTCTAATAATGTATTTGGAGCAGAGCATAATGTGATGGCCAATGTGCTGGGCAGTTTGTTCTCTCGGCAAAGTTGCTGGTCCGTTCGCAGGCGTTGTGCAATTGCTGCGGCATCTTGGCGATCAAGCAACTCCTGGTCTCTCATATTCAACTTGAACAGCACAAGGAAAGTCGAAGGTAAAATGAAACAGAAATTGCCGCGACATAGCCTCTAGAATGACTCACTGGCACTTTGAGACATAAGACAGGGGGGCCAAATAGAATCTTCTGGATAAGCGGGGGGCGAGCCTCGCGATGTGACTCAAATCGCCTTGGGAGAAGCTCTCTCGTTTGATGTTTCTACATCCCCCGAAGCACAGATAATGGCACAGACATCCACGTCGACTTCCCTTGTGAAAAGCTTGTCAAGCCTGCCGACCGAGCTTGCACATCAGATTCTTGATGATCTGCGAGTCAAGGACATCCTGAAACTACTTGCCTATGACAATGAGCGAGTCACTGCGTGTATCGCATCACATCCAATTTGTCGAGAATTGTTCGACTTGACGTCTGACGAAAACATCGCGAAGATACGCTTTGCCGCCCAGTTCTACCGCGACCTGTTCAGAGAAGTGCACCCCCCACTGAGTGCGGAGGGTTGGCTGAAACATCGTTGGCTTCCACCCAATATCCACTGCGTGGCGCCGAAAGATGGCAATTTGATCCTGCCCGAGATGCGAGACCATATTCACACTGAGCTCTATCTACATTGGCGAACACTAGATTTGACCCAACTCGGTGCGCCTGACTACCCCGAGCTGAATCACTGTTCGGCTCCGCCTCCTTGGAATAGATTCTCTTTCGAGAATATGAAGGAGCAATGGGAGGAGATCAAAAAAGCCAAGGCGGTTCTTTTCAAGATGAGATCCTCCGAGCTTGACTGGGCATCGGATATGCTGGAGGCCAATCCAGATATTTTGAAGCGGACACTCGATCCACATCAGGTGCGACGACCGAACACCACGCATATTGTATCCAGGATGCAGAATGATTCTGGGAAAATATTGCGTGCCTCCTCCGGGCACAAATTTGTCCAAGCAGAGCATTTCAAGTATGAATTCTTCGGAGTCATCCCCTTTGACTCTGCACTGGTCGAATTGTTGTCTTTGATGGAGAAACATGGTATCGTCAAGGGTGACCAAATAACGGCAAATGCTGCCATCAAATCTGGCGCTGTATCACATCCATCTTCAATCCGAGAGTCAGCGGTCACTCTAGCTGAAGGAATGTCTCATTTTGACCCGTCAGCTCTAATGACTGATGAAAAGAGAGAGAAGATGCGAGAAACGTCGAGATTATACTCCTTTGGAAGCCCTGATGGTATTGTGGTTCCTCGGACGGGCAACACCCCGTGGTCTGGAGAGCAAGATTTGATGAACGGTGTCAAGGTAGAAGGGCCCTATTTCACACCGCACAAGATCGGGTCGGATTACAATTTCCGGCGACCTGAGATCTGCCGGTGGGACCCCCATGGCGATGGAGAGCGAAAATGGTTGCAAGCGTTTGTGGACTTGTATCGGTATTTGAAAGGCTTGGAATAATCCCTCAATCTGCAAAACCGGCCTCAGGGCTGCTGAGCAATACAAGTAGCGCGCAGTATGGTAGTAAGCAGAAAGTCAAGTGTTATCCAATCTGTACTTTTTCCATGGCGATATGCAAGCCCTTAGTCCTAAATCTCACCTGGACCTAGCTCAAGAATCGGATGGGAAAGTTGTCCAGTTCAATGATCTGGGCAATCTTCTGTTATCCCGAGCGTGTCATAATGCCGCGAGGCGACCATTTTGAAGGAGGGGTAGAGAGTTGAAATCCCAAGCTCCCAAGCGGGCTCGGAACTCACACTTGTATCTTCTGCGTGTGTGTTCTTAGAGGGGGCTTGGGCCGGTGGCAATGACAAATGTTCCTCAACGAGACGTCGATAGGTGCACTCTTTCTCTCGCTGAGTGCATGCGGAGCATGGAAGATCCCCATTGCAGGCTTTCCTCAGAACGGCGCAACTGTCACAAGCCCGCTTGTGTTTTCCTCCACGCCCTGGCTCTGGGATCTCATGACCATCGTGTATACGGGTCTTGCACGATTTCCAGTGTCTTCGCAAGACATCACTAGTATTGTCAGAGGCTGATGACACATCAATCCGGCCATGTAGTACGGAGTACACACCGTCGACCAAAGGTCGAATCACAAAATAAACAGACGTGATCTTTCGTCGAGTCATCTGTAGAAATTCAGTATCATCCATGCAGTCAAAGTCATACGTGATGTTGATGTACGTGTGATTTCATGGCGCTGAAGATGGTTCAGTCTTTGGAAAGTTGACGAGCATCGGTCACATTTCCACACCGCTGCAGGTTGACGCGCCTGGGGATTCCGCCCGGGCATCGTCAGGTTCGGGCTGATAGACGAGTCCGAACAATCACAAGCTCGGATGATGCGGGATCATAGCAGTGGGGTATAGTGTTTGGGGTATGACTGATGGTCGCCCGGAAGGTGGGTGAATGCCGCCAAGAGCAGATGTCGCCGCAATAGAGAGAGATGTCTCGCTTCACGAAAGTCAGTTCTACTTGGCAGGGGACCGGCGGCGATGGATCAGATTCGCTAATTCGAAGGAGGCGATTGGTGAAAAGGGAGAGTCGGCAGTTCCGTTGCCATTTCCCCCGACTTGGCAGTATATACAGTGATGTGTGAGAATGTTACTCCGTAGAAAATGTAAACCTTGGAAGTGATTGCTCTTCTTCATAAAAAGAAAGGAAAACCCCGAGAACAAGAACTTCTAACATTTTAAAGAGTCAACAACCTGTTGAGGTTTTCTTCACTTTCCATTGGAACCTCTACATCTCTCAACTTCCACTTTGCCTACTCATCTCAAGTTGACACCATGGAAGAAATGGAAGAATTAAGCCATTGGAACGACTGGCCTACTGACAAAGGCGTATGTGAAAAATCGCGCCACCCGCACTAAGTACATTCTAATCCCTGCACAGTTCGATCCTGAATACGAGCAACGCGAGCCAGTCGAGCTAGCAGTGACCGGGACCATACCAGCCTACACCGCAGGAGTGTTGTATCGCACGGGTCCAGGGAAAAGTCACATCAAAGCCGACAATGGAGAGACTCTCCAGATCTCTCATTGGTTTGACGGCTTCACCCAGAATCATCGATTTCAGATCGTCGCGGATGATCTCAATGGATCCTCACGAGTCTTCTACAATTCCCGCTTTTCAACCGATGATTTGATTCAAAAGGCCATCGAAACAGGATCCCTGAAAGGACTGGGCTTTGCAGAAGGTCGTGATCCCTGCCAGAGTGTTCTGGGCAAGGTTCAAAGTGAATTTATTCCTCAACCCACCCCTTCAAGCAAGAACGTTGGCGTGACTCTTTCGATCAATTTCCCTGGCTTGGATAACAAAGACAAAAACGACTCGAGTTCTCGCTGGAACAACCCTCAAGGAGTCCGAACTCTGTATGCCAAGACAGACTACAATGCCTTTCAGAAGATCGATCCGGAAACACTGGAGCCTCTCGGTCTTGCATCACAGCTAGATCTACACCCCGAACTGAAAGGCCCAGTTACCGCATCTCATACTCGCTCTGACCCCACCACTGGAGACGTCTTCAACTATAACCTCACACTGGGATCAGCATGTACGTATCGCGTGTTCAAGGTCTCAGCAGCAACTGGAGAGACAACAATCCTGGCGACATTTGATGCACAGCCTGCCTACCTCCATTCGTTGCTCATCACCGAGGACCATGTCATCCTCTGTATTTGGAACGCACATCTTGATCCACGGAAGATGGCTGAGTCCTTCATGCATGCAATCCTGCCTACAGATCCCACCCAGCCGGCGCTCTGGTATGTCATTGACCGCAAAGGGGACAATGGATTGATTGCGACATACGAAAGCCCTGCATTCTTCTGCTTCCACACCATCAATGCATGGATCGAGCCTTCGGAAAAGGACGCATCTCAAATCGACATTGTTGCAGATCTAGTGAGAGCCGACAACACGGACCTGATCCATAGCCTCTACTACAAAAACCTGATATCCTCTCTGGATACAGCCAAGAGTTTCCAAAACAACAGATCCGAGTCTATCAAGACATCGATCACCCGCTTCCGCCTACCTTCCGTGCCGCGAACCCCGTCTACAGATGTAAAGAAGGCAACCCTTGAATGGTCTGACCTCAAATTCCTGTCCCCAGAGCTACCGACAATCAATCCAGCCAAGGGTACCCGGAAGCACCGATACGTTTATGCTGTGACCATGCGCGGCATGGGTACTCTGACAGATGGTATCATGAAACTTGACTGTGACACCAGGGAAGGCCATGTCTGGATATCTCGTGGGGACTCGCCCGGGGAGCCCATCTTTGTCGCCGACCCTGAAGGTACAAACGAAGACGATGGTGTACTGCTCAGCGTGGTGCTTGATGGAAGTCGTGGTAAAAGCTATTTGCTCTGTCTTGACGCTCGGAACTTGTTGAAGCTTGGTCAGGCCAACATTGACGGCGCTGTTGGGTTGGGTTTCCACGGCCAGCATGTCCCAGCCGCTGTGGGAATGCCAACTGGTGACTATTACTAGTTTTGTGGAGATCAGCTCGGATACTTGATGCACCAAGATACGTCAGGGTTTCAATCAAGATCCAAGCAGACATAGTTCATTTACCAAAGTTGATCAATATGATGTTCTGCCGTTAGGACTGGCAGCGTTCTTCAACTCGGGGCAGCTCTGGAGAAGATTTGAGTGGTACTACATGCTACAGACAGCCGTGGAGTTTCGCATTGATTCACCCGTAGTAAGCGCAATGCAACTTGAAAAAAAAAGTCATGTAATAGGAAACGAGCCTAATGCACTAATAATGAATTTCCGAGTTCTATCACGACTCTCAGCGACGCCGAAAAAACATCTACCAGATAGATAAAAAGCCGCTTAACTCCACTCGCTCGGCATTTTTGCGCACCGGGGTAGTATCAGTTCAAAAGACTGGCCATCAAACAGAACATAAAGCATAAAACACCACCCGATATAGGCCCCCGCTCTTCTATGTTGTACATTGGAACAAGATACAGGAACTGGAAGCCAGAGGCAATGGTAACATGAGCAATCAGGGTATTAGTCGTACAGAGATATGGATATGGCACAAGGAAAGAGAGCCATCTGGGGCAGAATTCAGTAGTCGACCTCCTTCTCCATGACCATGATCAACTCGGTCAACTCCTTGCGAAGGGCACGGTTACGGTCCCAAACCTCGACGACCTTGGGGCGCTGGCTGGTGAAACAGGCCTTCTTCCAGGGAAGCCCGCCGTACTTTGATGTGGTGCGGTTTGGAAGACCGCGAGCAATGTTTCGCAGAACCAATGCAGCCTTGTAGGCCACGCCGAATGGCTCGCCCTTCTCGTTGGTCGGTGTGTCCATGTAGTACCATTTGCGAACAATTCGTTCCTGGAGAACTGCCCGCTTGGCGGTCATGGGCCGTGCGTCCGTGGGTCGATCCTCTGGCAGATGTGAAGAAACATGCCCAGCAACCATGGAAGTGTTGGCACTGGGGCCAGAGGCGCGGAAGCGTACGCAGTGGTCCCATTGACAAGTGTGAATGGGCGTCTCGGCGGTGTCTAGTTTATATTGACCAGACGCGTCAGCCGAGTCTGCGGGCTCCAGACTCATGTGCTCGCCAAAGACGTGGTTGCGAAGGTCAGTTGGTGATGTAAAAGCACGTTGGCAGATCTTAGAGGGCTTGGAATGATCTGCCCAACGGCAGTACGAATAGGGGAAGCCTTCAAACGTGTGAGCAGTTTCTAGGGGTCGGATGCCCTTGATGATGAACTTTGTGGTAGCACCTGGCCCGTTGATGACTTGTGCTTGGGCGTTTGTAAATGTGTTGCTGACGTTCTTGATAAACTCAGCAGCAGGAAGCACGCCACTTCCCGCGACACGAGGATCGGCAAACCGACTCTGATAGGCTTGCCATAGGGCAATTTGTGTGATCTCGCATTCTGCATCTTCGATGAAACAGCACCGTAGCCATTGTGAGCTTCGTTCCGGTTCCGCTAGCTCCATGAGTTTCTCCAAGAGCTCGGCTGGCACACGTGGAATTTCAGTTGGTGGGGGAGCGACCTTTTCCTCCTGGAGAACGGTCTCATGCTTGGTGGGCCGTGCTTCATAAGTCAGAAGAGCAACCATGCGCGGAACAAAAACGATTGGGAAGTTGACAACATCCATCAGTGTCTCGATATTGTCGTGACTAAGGGTGTATTGGTACCAGAAGTCAAGTGCACCGCTCAGGATATCCTTGTCGAGGTCGAGCAGTGTGTGATAGTACATCTGTTGAAGAGTTGGTTTTGTCATGGTTTCCAATGCACGGTTGGCATCTGCATCATCCAGTTCAGTACCGAAATGTGTCAAGGCCCACAAGGACCGCACAACATGGGCACGATCTGAGGAATCCAAACACTTGACTAGTGAGATCCACAGCGGGTCGTTAGGATCAGTCTGCAGGAACTTGGTGACTTCTTCAGCAATATCAAGAGCATCGTTTTTTATTTCGTTCAAGCGAGGCTGGTTCGGGGCATTGATCAAGATGACCAAGAAGTCCCGTAATAGGCCGTTCGCATACCGAGACACATAAAACGCGTTCTCCTTGAGGAGCACCATGTTTCTCAGCACCAGCGTAGCCTCCTTGATGTTTCGCAGTTGATGATTAAATTCATAGGTTTCAAGGCTGTCGTCGGGGAGGTTGACTGGAATTTTGCTGATTTTGTCAAGAATGTCCCGGGTACCATGCAGCGAATTTAAAACGTTAACACGGTCAGCTGGTTGACGTGGATCGTATTGGAACTCCCATTTGACCCCTGTGCAGAGTTGCGTAAGATCGAGTGCTTTCTGCATTAGGGTTTCCGCGAGTAGCGGGAACCCTTCGAATTTGAATTTGTCCCAGCGTTGGTTGGAAATTTGAACGAGGTGATAGAGTGCAAAGTCAACTTCATCCGGGATACCTGATTGGAGACCATAGTGGGCACGTTTGTAAATGTGATCCGCTGGATAGGGACCAGATGTTAGTGAGATTCCAACGGCTGGGGGACCATATGGGTTGTACTGACTCCTGGGGACCTCGAGGTATTGTAGGGGAAAGTGGGGATCAAAGTAATCCAGTTGCCGTGGTGCTTTTGATGGGTCACGCAAATGCGCGAAGATCAGCGGGCGATTTCCGGGTGTTGGGACCTCTCTCGTTGACATGGGAAGTTGTCTGTGGTCCTTTCCTTGCCAGCTCTCGACGGCGAACTGCGAGCTGGTGGGATTTGCAGCAGGGTCAAGGGGCATGGGGACCGAGCTTTGGGGCTGTGGTGAAGTCGAGGTTAGGCCTGGGTGAATGTGGGAGCGACGGGCGGGAGTTGTGTCGGGGATGAAGGGTTGATTGACTTTAGGGGCGTGGCGTAGGCCCTCTGTAGCTCGTGTCAGTAAAGCTGCCATCTCCATCCACTAGGACTGTAGGGTCTTACGTCGCAGCGAGGTGCGAGGGGTGGATGCAGACATGGTGCCGATAGAATAAGGCAACACCTCTGCGCCTTTCTCAGGCTTGAACGCAATCTCAACTCGTTGAGTCTCCACGACAGACCAGTGTGACTAGAATAGCCTTCAAATTCTTCGCCGACAAGATCGGGTTGTTTTGGCGCAAGCTCGAGGGGTTGTAAGCCACAGTGGATGGGATGCCCTTGATACACTTGAAACCGATCGCGAAGGGGTAGACGAAGGTGTGCGGGATTCGTAAGTGCGTCAACCCTCCGGCAGCTTCGATTGAACGGACAATGTACGTCCTTGGCGGATTGAGGTGATGATTGACAGAGCGAAAGTGCGACTTCGACTGGGTCAAAAGATTCGCGCGTTTGATGCGAAGAATGGAATTCTCAACAGCGGATTGGGGAGTTGAAATTGTTTGCGCAGATTCAGTCGTATTGAGCGGCAAGTGTCAATGGTAGAATATTAATGCCTGGCGGCCCTGGAGGGCTAGAGCTGGGCTTGCGATTAAGGGCGCTGCAGCCAAAAGTTCGCGCCATGGAGATGGCCGCCGAGCGCGTGCTCGGATCTTAGTTGTTCCGGGATGACAAACTGTGTCGGGGATGGGTTGGCGCCTGAGGCATTTACAGCCTTATACCTTAGGTGTCAATGGCTTGGAGCCTGGGACTTCTATGTTTCTTTTGTTCTCTCTCTAGAGCTCTTTCAAATGTTGTTCGTCTCCCTCTTTTCGTCAAGTGGAGACGTTAACTGAACTCACCAATATTACATGAGAGGTCACTAATCAGTTGGTTACAGTATAAACGTATGGATGTTTCCGGGTACCCTAGACTGTATTGATTGTTGGTAGCTCTGGCGAAAACGATTTGAGAACAGTCTGCTAGTTCCAGGGGCTTTCAGTCATCTCCTCCCCGTCAGAGTTGAGATTGAGGTTGATCTCCAACTCGGCGTCTAGGCCATCGGTAACCGACTCCGGGACCGACGCAGCGACGCCAGCGGAGACGGGAGCGGAGACATCTGGCGCGCTCCCTTCCGGAAGCCGCGGCCGGGACAACGCCGCCAACTGCTCGCGAAGGCGACCGATTTCCTGGCCCTGTTGGACGAGTCTGGCCAACAAGGCCTGGCGGGCAGCGCCCCCCCCCCCCCCCCCCCCCCCCCCCCCCCCCCCCCCCCCCCCGCCCCCCCCCCCCCCAACCCCCCCCCCCCCCCCCCCCCCCCCCCCCCGCCTACGAGCGGGGGGGGTGGAGGGGGG